AAGTTTTCTAAGATTCTTCTGGTGCAAAATTATATTTTTTTACATTAACATTAATGAAAAAAATATATCTTTAAATGTATAAGAGAAAAATTTAGAAAGGACTTAATTTTAAATGAGTTCTTGTTAATTGACCAGTTTTACATATTAGGCACGACATTATATATATATATATATATATTATATATATATATATATATATATATATATATATATATATATATATATATATATATATATATCGTGCCGAATTGGCAGAACTTGCGATCTTGGCTTAAATAGCAACGCTCATCTTGCCATATAAAAATATATTTCACTGTGTTTGTTTAGTATTAAATTATTGTAAACAAATCTAAAATATATATTGTTGGGTTAGGCTAAAATAAATTGTTCTTGTTATAATAAGGTTAGGTAAGTTTTCTAAGATTCTTCTGGTGCAAAATTAAAAATTTTTACATTAAAGATATATTTTTTTCATTAACGTTAAACGTATAAGAGAAAATTTTAGAAAGGACTTAATTTTAAATGAGTTCTTGCTAATTGACCAGTTTTACATATTCGGCACGACGTATATATATATATATATATATATATATATATATATATATATATATATATATATATATAATATATATATATATATATTATATATATAAAGCTAAAATAATTTGTATAAGAAATCTTTCCTGCTAAAATTATAGAAAGATATTGAAAGCACAAATATATAACAGGGAGGGGGAGAAAGGAGAAAAAGCGTGAGATGTGGAGAAGAGGACGAGAAGAGAAGGGAAAAGTTGAAAGAGAAAGAGAGCATAATGACATCAACGAAATAAAGTCAGTTGACCGAATGAAATAGCTGGCCAACAGATAGCGCCAGTTTCGCCCTGTTCCCTATTTGTATGCCTCATAAGAATAAAAAAAGTTTTAAAATGAGCTGATATAGGTAAAAGCTTTTACCTACATCAGCTCATAAAGGTAAATAAAGGTAGGAAACCCTAAGCTAACCTTATAAAACCCATGTGTAAAAAATGAGTGTATTAGTGATAATAACTTCAGAGGCTTCGCTTGACTAGGATACATTAAGTTCTTCTACTGGTCACAGACCGGGCTGCGGGGGCGTTGACCCCCGGAACTCTCTCCAGGTAAACTCCAGGTAAACTGTCCTTGAACTTCATGTCAGGGATAATATCGACACCTTGTAATTTCTCTCTCTCTCTCTCTCTCTCTCTCTCTCTCTCTCTCTCTCTCTCTCTCTCTCTCTCTCTCTCTCTCTCCCTCTCTCCTCTCTCTCTCATCTCTCTCTCTCTCCTCTCTCTCTCTCTCTCTCTGTCTATCTATCTATCTATATCTATCTCTCCATCAAGTTTTAGCGGTGTGATTATCTTATCAGTATTATAATGATAAAATATGATTATATAAAGAGTGAGAGATCAATATTTATAGTCATCCTACGCAGACTACCAAGCTTCAGTGTGTTTGTCACTGGTGATATACAGTGTATGTGTCCTGCTACACACAATGCAGGTGATTGCAGTGAATGTAGGTACGTATTACTATATGTGTATATTTCGTTGCATTTATGGATTTTGAAAAGGCCTATATAGATAGGATGGATAAGGGAGCACCGTAGTAGATGCAAGTGCATGGAATAGGTGGTAGATTATTAAAGCGGCTAAGGGTTTTTATGAGGATAGCGAGCCTATGTAAAGGTATGTAGGAGAGAGAGAAATTATTTACCAATAAAAGAAGTCCTTAGAGATGTTGATTTCACCATGGGAATGGACTTGTCAGCAGACCGGTACTATGAAAGGCGAGGTGAACCATAGAATAGACGAGGTGGGTGGTGCATTAAAGTATCTATGGAGACAAAACGTTATTCATGGAGGCAAAAAGGAGAATGTATCAAAGTATAGTGGTATCAATACTCTTTTTAGGGTGTGAAACGTGTTTTAAGTATTGCAGTGGAGGAGGCTGGAGGCATTGAAGATGTGCCTGCGGGCAATATATGGTGTGGCTATGATGCAGATAATTCGTAGTTTGGAGATTAGGATGTGCAGGATTACTAAAAGTATTATCCAGAGGGCTGATGAAGGGTTGTTGAGATGGTTTGAGCATCAAGAGAGGATGGAGCAAAATAGAATAACTTGGAGGGTGTGTAAATCTGTATTGGATGGAAGTGGTAAGATAAGATAAGATAAGATTTCGTTCGGATTTTTAACCCCGGAGGGTTAGCCACCCAGGATAACCCAAGAAAGTCAGTGCGTCATCGAGGACTGACTTAACTTATTTCCATTGGGGTCCTTAATCTTGTCCCCCAGGATGCGACCCACACCAGTCGACTAACACCCAGGTACCTATTTGCTGCTAGGTGAACAGGACAAAAGGTGTAAGGAAACGTGTCGAAATGTTTCCACCCGCCGGGAATCGAACCCGGGCCGCCCCTCCGTGTGTGAAGCGGGAGCTTTAGCCACCAGGCCACCGGGCCTGGTAGGGGTCATCCGAGGAAAGATTATGGGGAGGGGGTCAAGGAGGTTTTGTGTGTGAGGGCCTTGGACATATAACAGGCGTGTGAGCGTGTTAAATAAGAGTGGAGGCAAGTTGTTATTATGGTTTGACGTGCTGTTGGAGTGTGACCAAGTTAACATTTATGAAGGGATTCAAGTAAACCGTTTAGCTGGACTTGAGTCTTGGAGGTTGTAAGTACAGTGCCTACACTCTGAAGGAAGGGTGGGGATATTGCAGTTTGGAAGGGCATCAGAGCAAAACGTTTAACATTCTTCCACCTCACAATCCATACACCAGGATGGTAATACCTTCTGCGGTTCCTGTCTGCCTGTGTGACATCGACAGATTTTTGAGTCTGTTAGGGAAGTTTTGTGTTGACGCGAGGCTTAGTCATAGTTACTGGTGAGGGAAGCGAGGCCCTGTTGTGTGTGTACTCACCTAGTTGAGGTTGCGGGGGTCGAGTCCGAGCTCCTGGCCCCGCCTCTTCACTGATCGCTACTAGGTCACTCTCCCTGAACTGTGAGCGTTATCATACCTCTGCTTAAAGCTATGTATGGATCCTGCCTCCACTACATCACTTCCCAAACTATTCCACTTACTGACTACTCTGTGGCTGAAGAAATACTTCCTAACATCCCTGTGATTCATCTGTGTCTTCAACTTCCAACTGTGTCCCCTTGTGTGTGTGTGTGTGTGTGTGTGTGTGTGTGTGTGTGTGTGTGTGTGTGTGTGTGAGAGAGAGAGAGAGAGAGAGAGAGAGAAACTTTCCCCAGCAGCGTGAGGACGGATAACACCTACCAACTCAATCTTATTTTACAACATATTTTTTGAAGAGCTACTTAACGTCAGTTTCTTAACGCTTCCTATTTGTCCTCAAATGTTGTTTTCTTTATTTTAAATTAGGATAAGTTAATTTAAAAATCAAGCTGGGTTATATAAGGGTAAGGTAGGTTGCTCTGGGTTAGATTAATTTAGGTTGGGTTATGTAAACCTGTAAAAAAAAACACGTGTAACCACAAAAAAAGGTACAATACCGTGACTGGAACAATACATAAATAACCCGCACATAGGAGAAACTTTTGACGACGTTTCGGTCTGACTTGGACCAGTAATCGTAAGTTTCATTCTCCTATGTGCGGGGTATATGTGAAGTGTAATTACAAATGAGTACACAAACCGGCTGCAACGTTTGGCAACGAGATGGTCGATGGAACGTTGAAGGTTGAATTAAATGATGACTTGATAAAGATCTACACAAGGCGAAACGTTGCTGTAATAAGTTTTTTCTGCAAGGTGTCTTTTTTTTTTACTTGCAAATTGTGGCAGTGAGTGCAATGAGGTGGCAGGTAACACTGGGAGGTTGCAAGTATTGACTGCATTAACATTGGTGAATATGAGTATAAATAGGATCTACCTCGAGTATACCGCAGTATATATACGCTGAGATATACATTTCTGTATTTATTCAGTTGAGATAGATCTCTCGTGAATATAAACAAATATAGATCTTTCAGTGTATATGTAGTAATATAGACCTCCCAGCCTGTAACCAGAGATGTAGACCTTTTGATGTACACGCAATGAGATATACAGCTATCAAGTGAATATTCACTTGGTAAATACATAGCCCGGTGTATATACAGTGAGAGATGTGATGAATGGTTTGAAAAACCGACAAGTTGAAGATACACGCCTCGCAGATTTTATACATAGATAAGCACTTCTCAGTTTCTACAGATGGTGTGAAAACGATAAATATCCGTAACTGCCTGGGTGTCAACGATGTAATTATCCAATCAGTGGCATCATCAGTTCACCATTACCTCAATTACCACTACTTCCGGAACTATATTATTATTATTATTATTATTATTATTATTATTATTATTATTATTATTATTATTATTATTATTATTATTATTATGGGGGAACGGAGATACTACAGCATGTTACATCACCACCATCCTGTATTACGCTCATTACCAAAACCTCCACCACCACTACTTCAAGTCTCCACCACTGTTATCACATTGATAAATTAGACACATGTGCAACTCTTGGGTATCTTTATTGAGGAAACGTTTCGCCACACAGTGGCTTCATCAGTCCATACAAAGGAGAATCTTGAAGAACAGGAGGAGAATGAGGTAATCAGTCCCTCAACCTTGAGTCGATGTGGTCAGTCCATCAATCTTGAATCTATTCAAGATTGATGGACTGACCACATCGACTCAAGGTTGAGGGACTGATTACCTCATTCTCCTCCTGTTCTTCAAGATTCTCCTTTGTATGGACTGATGAAGCCACTGTGTGGCGAAACGTTTCCTCAATAAAGATACCCAAGAGTTGCACATGTGTCTAATTTATCAACATGTCGGTTCTCTGAACCATTCATCTACAAACTGTTATCACAAGTCTACAATCACCTGCTACCTGTCACTACCACGCTTTTCGCCATCACCACCAACTAATAGCTTTTATAACTACCCTGTGTACAGGAGACACGATACCGTCGGGGGCGGTGCGAGTGTACAAGATCCGCTGGGTGATCCTCTTTCTTTTCGTGTTATACTCCATGTCGAACGCCTTCCAGTGGATCCAGTACTCCATCATCAACAACATCATCGTGCGCTACTATGGAGTGAAGCCTACTATGGTGGACTGGCTCTCCATGATCTACATGGTCACATACATCCCTCTCATCTTCCCAGCATCGTGGTACCTGGAGAAGAAGGTCAGTGCGCTAAGTTATTCAAATGCAGAATTTTCAAATTATGAATACATATAATATCTGTAGAGGCCATGGTATGCACAACATTGATTATCATTAATGGTGTGCAGATAACACAGATGCACCATTAAAACGTTTATTATTTAAACATTTCGTTCGCTGGAAGCCTTGTCGATCTGGTAAGTCGATACAGTCCTAGTGAGCGAAAATTTTCCTTTAAGAACATAAGAAAGAAGGAACATTGCAGCAGGCCTACTGGCCCGTGCGTGGCAGGTCCAAGTCTCCTACCGACTTAAGCCAATGCACCTAACCCAGTCAGGTCAGGTCACATTGACTTAAGGGAGGAACACGGCAACCGACCTGGTAGCACAAGTTATCAGGTCCAACTCGCACCCACCCACATCCACTCATGTATTTATCCAACCTATTTTTAAAACTACACAACGTTTTAGCCTCTATAACTGTGCTCGGGAGTTTGTTCCACTCATCCACAACTCTATTACCAAAGCAGTGCTTTCCTATATCCTTCCTGAATCTGAATTTTTCCAACTTAAAACCATTGCTGCGAGTCCTGTCTAGACTAGATATTTTCAGCACACTATTTACATCCCCTTTATTTATTCCTGTCTTCCATTTATACACCTCAATCATATCCCCCCTAATTCTACGTCTTTCTAGAGAGTGCAGATTCAGGGCCCTTAGTCTATCCTGACATAGGGAAGGTTTCTGATACATGGGATCAACTTTGTCATCCTCCTTTGTACATTTTCCAGAGCATTTATATCCATTCTGTAATACGGTGACCAAAACTGTGCAGCATAATCTAAATGAGGCTTAACCAAGGATATATATCCTAGGGTGGCATGTGTGATCTGCCCAAAATGCATTTTATAACTATTGACATTTTCATGCGTGATAAACCTGTATATAATGTAATACTTCGTATCGTGGTCAAGGAAAGACACGCTGCATATTGTAGATTGTATCACGTGAACTAGACCCGTGTGAGTTATTCACTGCCAGGCTTGGTGGAGGCTCGTACCTCCGACCTTGAATCATGGCCCGGCCTCTGATCACTCAGGTTTTTGGTAATACGTTGTAGAACAGGTTTTGAACATCAAAATGGTTTTGTTTAGGACAGGTTTTCTTTAGGACATTGTTTAGCTCTTTGTAAAGTTCTTTATTGAGCGAAACATGACTTGATTGAGCTCTTCACAGAGCGAAGCGTTGACCAATAAAACTTGCGCAGTGTTTTTACTATAGGCTGTACGACATTTGGATTGAATTATCATCATGGGAAAGTGCTAAAGCAACATCTAAGGAATTGAAAGGGTAAGGGCAATCAAATTTGATCGGATGAATGAGAACGTAGCTCGAATTTCTTGAATCAAGATTTTTCTTTTCCAGTGCCAAGGCGCCTCCTTGAAGTGGTCTACAAGGACGGTTGGTTAGATTCACCCACAAATATATTATGGGTTAAACTATACGAGGCTTCATGACTCACGAAATTGTAATAATACGGCTTCAAACCACGGAACGGGTGGGATTTGAACCCGTGGCTAGCGAGTCGTTAAACTCCAGACCAGCTAGCCCAGTGGCTTACGCATTGGAGTTTTACGACTCATTCGCCATGGGTTCAAATTCCACCCGTTCCGTGGTTTATACGAGGCTTCAGTGCCTCCCAAATCTTTATTTTGGCATCACATGGTAATGGTCCAGAACCGACTGAAACCTCTCATATTTCCCATCTATCGCTTGTGAGTTGTGGCAGAGGCTCGGCATGTGTATTCAGCAGTATTAGGCACCTCCCTCCCGTGTGCTACTGCCCTATTATATGTGATAGTTACATTGTGGGAACATCCGCAGTGTACTAATATCCGATTATATATGATAGTTACATTGTGGGAACATCCGCAGTGTACTACTACCCGATTATATATGATAGTTACATTGTGGGAACATCTGCAGTGTACAACTACCCGATTATATATGATAGTTACATTGTGGGAACATCCGCAGTGTACTAATACCCGATTATATATAATAGTTACATTGTGGGAACATCCGCAGTGTACAACTACCCGATTATATATGATAGTTACATTGTGGGAACATCCGCAGTGTACTACTACCCGATTATATATGATAGTTACATTGTGGGAACATCCGCAGTGTACTACTACCCGATTATATATGATAGTTACATTGTGGGAACATCCGCAGTGTACTACTACCCGATTATATATGATAGTTACATTGTGGGAACATCCGCAGTGTACTAATACCCGATTATATATGATAGTTACATTGTGGGAACATCCGCAGTGTACAACTACCCGATTATATATGATAGTTACATTGTGGGAACATCCGCAGTGTACTACTACCCGATTATATATGATAGTTACATTGTGGGAACATCCGCAGTGTACTACTACCCGATTATATATGATAGTTACATTGTGGGAACATCCGCAGTGTACTACTACCCGATTATATATGATAGTTACATTGTGGGAACATCCGCAGTGTACAACTACCCGATTATATATGATAGTTACATTGTGGGAACATCCGCAGTGTACTACTACCCGATTATATATGATAGTTACATTGTGGGAACATCCGCAGTGTACTACTACCCGATTATATATGATAGTTACATTGTGGGAACATCCGCAGTGTACTACTACCCGATTATATATGATAGTTACATTGTGGGAACATCCGCAGTGTACTAATACCCGATTATATATGATAGTTACATTGTGGGAACATCCGCAGTGTACAACTACCCGATTATATATGATAGTTACATTGTGGGAACATCCGCAGTATACTACTACCCGATTATATATGATAGTTACATTGTGGGAACATCCGCAGTATACTACTACCCGATTATATATGATAGTTACATTGTGGGAACATCCGCAGTGTACTACTACCCGATTATATATGATAGTTACATTGTGGAACATCCGCAGTATACTACTACCCGATTATATATGATAGTTACATTGTGGGAACATCCGCAGTGTACTACTACCCGATTATATATGATAGTTACATTGTGGGAACATCCGCGGTATACTACTACCCGATTATATATGATAGTTACATTGTGGGAACATCCGCAGTGTACTACTACCCGATTATATATGATAGTTACATTGTGGGAACATCCGCAGTGTACTACTACCCGATTATATATGATAGTTACATTGTGGGAACATCCGCAGTATACTACTACCCGATTATATATGATAGTTACATTGTGGGAACATCCGCAGTGTACTACTACCCGATTATATATGATAGTTACATTGTGGGAACATCCGCAGTATACTACTACCCGATTATATATGATAGTTACATTGTGGGAACATCCGCAGTGTACTACTACCCGATTATATATGATAGTTACATTGTGGGAACATCCGCAGTGTACAACTACCCGATTATATATGATAGTTACATTGTGGGAACATCCGCAGTATACTACTACCCGATTATATATGATAGTTACATTGTGGGAACATCCGCAGTATACTACTACCCGATTATATATGATAGTTACATTGTGGGAACATCCGCAGTATACTACTACCCGATTATATATGATAGTTACATTGTGGGAACATCCGCAGTATACTACTACCCGATTATATATGATAGTTACATTGTGGGAACATCCGCAGTATACTACTACCCGATTATATATGATAGTTACATTGTGGGAACATCCGCAGTGTACAACTACCCGATTATATATGATAGTTACATTGTGGGAACATCCGCAGTGTACTACTACCCGATTATATATGATAGTTACATTGTGGGAACATCCGCAGTGTACAACTACCCGATTATATATGATAGTTACATTGTGGGAACATCCGCAGTGTACAACTACCCGATTATATATGATAGTTACATTGTGGGAACATCCGCAGTGTACTACTACCCGATTATATATGATAGTTACATTGTGGGAACATCCGCAGTGTACAACTACCCGATTATATATGATAGTTACATTGTGGGAACATCCGCAGTGTACAACTACCCGATTATATATGATAGTTACATTGTGGGAACATCCGCAGTGTACTACTACCCGATTATATATGATAGTTACATTGTGGGAACATCCGCAGTGTACAACTACCCGATTATATATGATAGTTACATTGTGGGAACATCCGCAGTGTACTACTACCCGATTATATATGATAGTTACATTGTGGGAACATCCGCAGTATACTACTACCCGATTATATATGATAGTTACATTGTGGGAACATCCGCAGTGTACTACTACCCGATTATATATGATAGTTACATTGTGGGAACATCCGCAGTGTACAACTACCCGATTATATATGATAGTTACATTGTGGGAACATCCGCAGTATACTACTACCCGATTATATATGATAGTTACATTGTGGGAACATCCGCAGTGTACTAATACCCGATTATATATGATAGTTACATTGTGGGAACATCCGCAGTGTACTAATACCCGATTATATATGATAGTTTCATGGTGTGCACACCCGCAATGTGTAAATACACTGCACTGTATAAATCATAATGTGGGGAGGAAAACTACCTGTTTTTCTCTGCTGCCATACTCCATCACACAGAATGGGTCTGATAGGTCAAATCTGTCAGCCTAAGCTATGAGACTTCAGTAGGTCATAAAGATAAATGGTATAAAATACTGACACGATGGAAAAATTGACACATGTTTCGCCCACACAGTGGGCTTTATCAAGTCACCAACTCTTTGTGACTTGATAAACTTCACCGTGTGGGCGAAGCGTAGTCAATCAAGGATCGCATTATACTGCGTCTGTGTCTGTTTCTGCTTCCAGGGCCATGAGGACATCTCCAAGCATTACACCATGGGTTCAGTAGCTACAGCACCTTTAAACTATTTCCCACCAACAGGAATGGATTCTCTCTACGTGGAAATTACCCTCTCTCAGGATGGC